TTATTATTATTATTATTATTATTAATAATATTATTATTATTTTAATACAGATTGTATATATCTCCAACAGTTTGCACAGCTTTACAAAATAATGATACGCAGTACAGTTACAATATAATTCCATACAAGAGGATTAGGAGGGCCCTGCTTTGTAAGAGCTTAAAATTCAAATATAGGAATATAGGAGAGACAATAAAGCACCAACACAATCAGTACTACTAACTAGAAAGTAAAATAATAAAAGAAGACATGAACAAATAGGACTGCACTTATGTTGATACAAAATAAAAATAAAAAATACTAGCAAACGTATGCTTTTTTAGGCATAGGAGAGATCAGTGGTTGTAAGGAAATTTCACACACATAGTTATTGCCTCAAGGGTAGCCATTAAATTCACATAGTCTGAAGTTTTCATTTACGGAATTCGAATCTATTTGAATCTATTGGGATGGAGTTTAGTATGTTGTTAAATGTGAAAATAAAAAAAAATAACGGCGTGGGCTCCCCCCTCCCAAATTCCTACCAGAACCTTTGGGTCTGATAGGAATTTTAGGGGGACCCCATACTTTTTTTTTGCCATGAGGTCTCCCCTAAAAATTTCTACCAGACCCTTGATCCAAGCAGCGGTCTGGCAGAGCAAGAAAGGGGGGGGGGGGCGATAATGCGCCCCCCTTCTTCTCCACTATACCAGGCCACGTGCCCTTAACATTGTGCTGGGTCCCCATGTTAATGAGGATTAATGAGGATTAAAGGGCCTCTTCCCCACAACCCTGGCCCAGTGGTTGTGGGAGTCTGCGGATAGGGGCCTTGTCTGAAACCCACATATTGAAATCAAGAGTTTAATCATGCAGAGTTGAGGATGAGTACAGAAAGACTTCCAGTCAAGAGGTTGATGGAGGAAGAATGAAAAACAGATTTCTATTATGCATAAATATAGGATACATAACAAAACAATTAAAACAATATTTTTATTTAAATTGATCTGGATCTATTAACGTATGCTCTTAAAAGTACCTAAAAAACTAAAATTGTCTTTTTAACAAGAACAAATACTAAAAACATTGGAAATATTTTCATAATGTCTTCTCTATTTTCAGGAAGATGACGCAGTCCGTGAGAGCAGGTTCAACTTCAGTGGATATGGAATGGGCCATTGCCTACCAGTCAAGGATGGCACAGCAGTAAAAGCACCCCCGCCTGTTTTACCCCCTCCCCCACCGAAAGATGCAGAATCCATCAGGAAGAAGTTTGTTGACCGAGCGAAACGGATTGATACAATATCTCGTGCTGCCTTTCCTCTGGCTTTCCTCATTTTTAACATCTTTTACTGGATAACATACAAAATCATACGGCATGAAGATGTACACAAGAAGTAGGCCACCTATTTATTTTTGGGGAACTCAATGCCAAAGTGTGCTTGTACATAGACAGTGGGAAAGCCTCTTTTAATTTAGAGACTGGTTTTCTATCCACCTACTGTTCTACTCTTGGAAAACAAAAAAGCAGGAACAAAGACTTTCAAGAAGAAAATAAGAAAATGATTTATTCTGGTTGAGTGATATGATTCTCTTTCTGATAACAAACATTGTCCTAAGTTTACTTTTCCAGAATTTATATAAGAAAAAAACCTCTCAGGCTTATTTAAGGAAGGATTTCTCCCAAATTGTGAAAATGTAGAGCTGGGTGATGTTTAAACAACTGGATGTATACATCTCAAGATGGTGAAGCCTTCATTCCAGTGCTACTGTGTACAGACTCCACAGAACATGTTAAAAAAAGAAAACAGCACAAGGAAAGATTACCTGCCATTCCTGTGAACTACCAGGCCACACTCACCGGGAAGTACACAGGGAGGGGTAATAATGTTTCCTGTTTGAATACAGTAAGTTTTATATTATACATTGCGGAACAACAGAAAGCTTCTGGAATTCAAAAAGATAGAGTAAAAGATACACCCAGTGTTAGTGAACTGTCTTTTTTTTAAAGGTGAGTCTACTAGAAACATTTAAAGCGGGCCTTTACCCATATCTTTAAAATAACAACAAACACACCTTTGGAAATGTTTAGTAATGACAATCTACAAACAGATACTTCTAGATAATTGCTGGCTTTGTATTCTTTGCACATCTTATTTCTCTTTTCTTCCCCAGTCTTCTGCCAGTGGCCATGTTTACTAAGAGCAGATTACTAGCTCTCCTATTGCTTCCTGGCTTTCTGGCACATGTGACTAGACATGTAACTAGGACATGTGACCATGCACATCATCTCAGGGGACGAAAATGCCTTTCCCTGAGATCTCCTGAGATTACAGATGAGATTTCCCAGCAATGCTCTGGTGATGACAAGGCAATCCCAGTGTGTATTGCTTTGGCAAACTGAAGTCATTTTGCCCTTTTAAAGCAGGAAGTGAATTCTCTGCAAGTGTAAGTATTTCATAATCACAGCATTTTACACCTGACCTGTCTATGTTATTATTAATCATCCTACATAGAGGGATGCATTGATAGAATTTGATTTGAGTGTAAAGGTTCGCTTTAAGTCATGTTGGCAAATTCAATCACCCACTGACTTCTTAAAGAGGTAATGGCAACCTGAAGAGATTTTAAATGCCAATCAAACTTTTAGCTTAATTCTGCCAAATACATTGCAGGTGCATTAACCACTTCAGGACCGGCATGTTACACCCCCTTCATTACCATTTCTCAGTTTTCAGTGCTGTGCAGGTTTGACTGAGAATTCCTCCGTAACGCAACACTCTACCCAAATTAAATTTATATGATTTTGTTGAGCCAGATAGGGGTTTCCTTTCATGTTATTTAATAACCACTCTTTAAAAAAAATGTTGATGATATAACATTGCTAGGACAGTATGAAAGGAAAGTAGACACCCCAAGGTGATTTGATTGTTTTGCACAATTTTTTGGAAACATGCTAGCATTGAGGGAGTTAAAACATGGAGCTTGGTAAATGTGCACTAGATACATGAAATGTACAGGTAATACAGAGGGAGGCAGAGGTGAAGGGGTTAATGTACAGGTAACATACAGTAGGAGGATGGAGATAAAGGGGTTAATATACAGATGGACAGGTTAAGGGAGTTGAAGGGGTTAATAAACAGAGCAGAGTTGAGACAGAATGGAGCTGAAATATGCAGGAGAGGAGAGGGGGTGAAAGGATTAAAAATTGTTACTAACTTTATTATTCTTTACTGCTGCTGCAGTAAAGGGACTAGGAACGAATGATTTATCCATTCACTAGGAACTAATGAATGGATAAATCATTCATTCATTAGTTCCCCTAGTCTCCCCTGCCTCTGTTGTAAGAGGAAGGGGAGGGCTTGGCAATGTAAACATTGGCAAGTGATCACTGTGATAACCAATCACAGTGATCCAAAGGCACAGATCCAGTCCAATAGGCTCTGTGCCTGAAGCCTGTGGTCTCCTCTGTTCTGTGGCAGTAGGAGCAGCGGCTTCTGTGCGTGCCCACAGGCAGGTACAGGAGGACATACATGTACATCCTCCTGGAACAATAGGTATATGTATAGTGGTCAGTCCACCATTATACATAGTAGTGTAACATAGTGTTCCCAGTCTTACAGTTAATTTTCTTTAGAAAGTAGTCACAGTTTGTGTAGAACTGCCATGTCAGACATGTAGCAGTGCAATTAGTCTGTTGCTCCCAGCATGCTGTTGCTTTGTTTGAAAGAAAACAAAAAATTAAGTGCAAGAACGATGTGTGCCTAAACTCACAATATATGACCTACATTCTACGTATCCTGATAGGTAAAATAAAAGTTAGGTATAAACCAGTTGAACTACTGCCCAATTTTTAGCTACCAGTCAAAGCAAGCCTATTACAGTTTGATGAAAAAGCATGTAATGCTGCTAAAACTACCTGGAAAAAAAACCTTTTTTAAAATTAAATGAATCAGATTGGGGTGCTGCTGCTGTAAGTAGGCCAAGCTCATTGCAAACATACAGCAATAAGGCCAGCATGTTAGATAAGGATTTGTATATTTTTAATGCTGCTCTCCAAGCTGCATGAAAAGACCCTTCCCTCACCGTAAAATATTTTTTAAAGAAATGTTTGCTTTGGTACATGTCCCCAATGGCAGTGGCCGGATTCCCATGCCTTTTTCTAGATAGTAGTTTGCCTATTAGACCTAAAAATGCCCCCACCATAGATTTCAAAGAGATTGAGCTCTAAGTGTGGATTTGCCGAATTTTAAATAGGACTCACCATTCACTGCGTTTTATGCATTGTGGCTGTAGTGAGAATTTGGACAAGCTAAGAATTTTAAGGCAGACTTAAACACTCACATTTAAATAACTTGTTGAGTAGTTCGCAACCTCCATAGTTAGATCACTGCATTCAGAAATAAAGTATTATCACAAAATGTTTAATTGTTATAACTTTCAAATTCATACAACCCCTTGCTCTACAGGTGCATTTTAATGTTTCCTACCTGAGATGTGCCTGGTTTCTCTGTTCCACATTTCTTAGCATACTTAGCACTTCCCTAAAGAGCACAGTTGTGAAGCTGCTGTGACAGCTGGCCCAGCCTCTGTTCCTAACAATATTGCATGGAGTCCAAGCTGTGCGGTAGAGCAGGTCTAAGCACACAGCCAAAGGAAAGAGATAAGAGAAGCTGTAAATTAATTAATCAAGTCCTGAATTAGAGTGCTGAATTAGAGGAGGCATAGTGCTAGGGGGTAGTGCTGAATTAGAGGAGGCAAAGCAACAGCGTGGCCTACTGCGCACTAAAAGCTTATTCTACACAATGGGATCATGAACCCAGAAGCGATAATGTTGCCCCGCTTAAAGAACAGCTAAAGGAGCGTTGTCAGCATGGCACAAAATGAGGAGATAAGATTAGTACTGGCAGGATCAAGGTGAATTTTTTTGAAAACAAAGCACAGAATATCTCAAGGATTGAGATCACTGTTAACATATCATGGTAAGCAACTTTTTTTTTTTTACAATAACGTTTTAAGGTTTACATACACTTTAGGAAGTCAGTGGTTGATCAAATAATCAATTTGTTTTGGATGGACTTAACCTTTTTTTTTTACCTCTATCTTAGGCTATTGTACACCACCCAATACCACTTTTTTAACTTTGGGCTGAAGTTCTTTTTTGTCATTGTGCAATCAGCAAAAATATGTTAAGCCTCACAGCAGTCAATTGGATTCATACTTCAGCCACGCATTTGATGTATGAAAGAAGAATTTTGACTGGCCGTTGCGAGTCACTGTACGCCTGCGCTATTTGCACTGTGTGATTAAATAAGCTCTACTTAGAAAATGGGTCCAATTTAGCCACCACTGCCACAACAGCATTAAGTAAATATAACTCACAATTAAAAAGAAAAAAATCTTTCATTTTATCATGCCACTGAATAAAAACCTAAAAGGTTGCCATTTTGATACAAGTATTGTGATCATGGTATATTTGAGGTAAGGACCAATTTTTTTAAAAGGAATAGCTGCCTTTTTACTGCATGCAAAAGATGTCTTCTGAGCTACATTCCACTACAGTGTTAGAAACTAGTGTTGCACCAGGAGGTGCA